ATATATATATATATTAAAATAGTGATTTTAGATTGAAAACAACGATTTTAAATTTTAAAACAATAAAAATACAAGAAAAATATTTTATATAAATCAAACCAAATTTTACTTGTTATGTACAGGCTAAAAATTATATTTAAATTTTTAAAATAAAATTATTTTTTAATATAAATTAAAATCAAAACATTGAAGATATATTTAAGCCGTGTAAGAGAGTGAATCAGATACTTTTATTTTAGGTTTGACATATATCAATATAAGTTTATAAAATGTTGAAAAAAATATTAAAAAATTCAATAGACAGGCGAGGCTAAAATCGCTCAAAAACCCAATCAAAACCCTCTTACCCAGCGACGCCGTTTCTCGTCATTCTCTTTCTCTCTCTCTCTGTGTCTCTCTCCGCTGTTCCGCCGCCAGCTCCGTCGTCGAAAGAGTCCGAAGCCGCGTCTCGAGACAAGATGGGTGAGAGTCAAGAGAACGATGCTCTTCCAGAGAACAAGCCTCCCACCGAACAGGTACTTCAGCAACGGCTTTTAACGTAACTCATGAATGCTTCATTCGACTCGTGTTTCTTGTTCGTATACTATGCAATGATCGATTGGTAGCTGTGAGTAGTGAATTCATGAAATATATGTTACGGTCACTTCCCTATTATATTGCATTTATTTCGGAGCAGCATAAGGTAGGCATGCCTTGGATCTGGTTGAATTTGTTTATTACACTTTTGGACTCTCAGTTCAGAACTAGGAATCGTCCTAATTGTGTTTTAATATGATTTTATAATCTTATTACTCTGTTATTTATGGAGCAAGCTGAATGCCTCGTATATATGCGTTGTATCTAGAGTTTTTGGTTATTGATTTGCTATATTGCTTTGCAGGAAATTTCTGATGAACTAGACCTGAGAATAAAGAAGTATCTCAGAGGAGAAGGTGCTAATCTGGAGGTATAAGACATTGAGGTTATGGGAATTCAGATATTGGTATTTGATGATGGAATATTTTCATCTTAATTTGTAAACTATAATATGCAGGTTTTGAAGGATAAAAAGTTGAAGGGTCAACTAGCTGTTAAGGAAGAATTATATGGAAAATCTGCAAAGGCTGCTGCTAAGGCTGAGAAGGTTAGTTATTGAAACATTTTATTTTATTTTTCTTTTACATATTGTATATAAGTGAAATATTCTAAAGCATGTTCGTGGGTGTCGATGAAATATATGGCTATGCCTTGTGCAAAATATTGATGTGGTATGGTTGATTGCATATTTCAGTTAGAGCTATGGTTTGTAATTGGCTTTTTCATGATTTGACAGTGACACAATTTGATGCATATATCCTGTTTGAGAGTTTTGCTTCATGGTGGGACATTCTTGAGCATAGTCATTTGAATAATAGCTGGCATATAGGTTTTACTTGATTAATGAATTAGTTGAAGGTTAAGCTCAAAATTGGTGTGAACTGGAGTTAATTATACCTGACTAGCATGCAAGTCTAAAATATGGCATTTATACAATTAGTTAATTAGGCTGTTAGGTCATTGTTCAACATTGATGTTTTTGTAGTTAAAATGTCATTCCAATGCTTAATGAAGCCTTACATGTTAATAAAAATAGAAATTTGATTATGCAGTGGCTTATGCCTAGTGAAGGGGGTTATCTGGAGGCTGAAGGCATAGAGAAGACATGGAGGTTCAAACAGGAGGCAATAAGTCGTGAAGTAGACATCTCAAGCTCAAGGAACCAATATGATATTGTTTTACCAGGTAAGACTGACTTTAATTTCAGTACAAGCTATTGAAGCTGTATACTGTATAATTACTAGAATTGCAGAAAAGTTGATGTTTACTTGTAGTTTTTGTTTTAATTCTATCATAAAAATAATATTCTTTCTTTTGGCGTTGTTCTTGACTGGTAACAACTTTGTACAAGTTTGATTTATTCCACAATATAATGATGCACAGTTGCACACAACCTTCCTTGGTTGGAAACAACTTTGTTATTTTCTTGGTTTGCCATTTATTGCATTTCTTTAATTTTATATTTGCAGAACTTGGTCCATACACACTGGATTTTACTTCAAGTGGCCGGTATTTGGCTGTGGGTGGTCGCAAGGGCCATCTGGGAATTGTGGACATGATAAGTCTGAGACTAATTAGGGAGTTTCAGGTATGCTCTGTCATAGTTGAGCTTGCTATGTGGGCTTTTACTTTTATTAACTAATAAATTTCTTAAAATTTTTAATGTCTAAGAACATTGTTTGATTTTTTCCTTCTCAATTGATGATGTTCATCATGGCTTTTGTAGATTGCATCATTTTGTGTTGATATTATGAAGCATTATTTTTACTTGTCTGAATAAAACTTCAAGGATGCATTTGTTTTAGCTTTGAAAAAAGCAAAGTGGTGATGTAATATTTGATTAGTAATTACTATAAAGTTTTAAAACATGTTTTTAATTAAAAAAATATTTTTTGGTTCAAAAAAATGATTCAAAGTTCATGCTAGCAGAGAAAGGGTTATGCATATTATATTGAGTTTTTCAGAAAATTGTTTTTGATTTTTCAGGTAAGGGAAACAGTCCGTGATGTGGCATTCTTGCATAATGAGCTCTTTTTTGCTGCTGCCCAGAAAAAGTAAGTTCTCTTCCATGATTTGGTGTTCCACTGTTTAAATTTTGGGTTCCTTGCATATTTAATCTATACCACTACAACAAATGCACCTTTAAAATCTGAATGATGAATTAAGTGTGGTTGGGGGAGGGGTATGTTTGGAAGTTTTCAAAAAACAAAGGAGTGATATAAATAAACTATAATAAAAAAAATTGGGGACAGAACCTCATACCTGCATCTGGTATTCAAATTTGTTGACACTTACAAGTTACAATTATACTTGACTTTGAAAAAATAGCATAGTTTACAACATCAATGCATCATTTTTAAAAGTTTTCTTGGGCAATAATTCTTATACTTAAATGATGGCATGCTTTTAGGGTTAATTTGTTTTTTTCCCCTTTGAAGGTGAATTGAATTTCAAAGTTTAAACTTGTATTTCAAATGCTTTTTATGTTTCTTACATAATTTCATGTGCTTCCTGCTTATTACTTAGAAATGAAATTGCGGATATAAGGGTTTTATAAACCTTTAAGATTTTTACACTCTTCTCTATCTGATTTTGTGGTAGCATGTTGTGGGATTGTTGTGACTTGAAATTTTCTATCATTTGGAAAAGCTAAGTAGCATTGTTTCCCCATAAAAAATAAGTTACTAGTTGTCTTTTGAAGACATATCGAGTGGTTCATGTAAATGAGTCCAAAATATTCAAATTTGACAGGTATTCATACATCTATAATCGAGAAGGCACAGAGCTTCACTGCCTCAAGGTTGGTAATTACTTTTGCATTTTTTTTAATTTTAAATTTTGCTTTTTATGTATTATCATAGTCTGGAATATTTATGCATATGCTGATACCTGATGGGCAAGTGTCTGTCTTTTGGACTCGAACCATTCAATTTGGATGCTTGACTTTTAAATATCATATCTAGTTGACATTTTTCTTTCTAATTTCATTCATCTGAACGTTCATTTAAATACTTAGTACACCCCAGAGTCCTGTTTATGGCACTTGGATTCATCTAATACGTACTAGTGCTGCTTCAGATTGCAATTAATCCTAATTTGGGCACTGTTAGGAGTTAGGAGAAAGGGAAAGGAAAATTAGTGGGACAGTTAGGATGTTAGTCGGTTAGTTAGAGGTTTTAGTGACATAAATCGGAAACGTTCATCAAGTACTTTAAGTACCCCAGAAACCTGTTTATGACACTTGGATTCATCCAATACCTACTAGTGCTGCTTCAGATTGCAATTAATCCTAATTTAGGCAATGTTAAGAGTTAGGAGAAAGGGAAAGGAAAATTAGTGGGACAGTTAGGATATTAGTTGTTGGTTAGTTACATAAATTGCAGAGTAGGAGGGAAAAGATTCATTTGTCCTGTATCATTTTGTAAATTGAGCACTTGTTCTTTGTAAAAGGAGAAATCCTTTGTGAAGAGGAAACCATTGAAGAGAGATCTGTTTTCTTGTTATGTTCGTTTGTAATCAATCAAGAAATACAATATTTCTCTCCTTTTCTCTATTTTCAAATTCAGGATCCTAACAGGCACCCCTTTGTTTGTTTGATTAGGTTGGTTAAATCATGCTGAATATAGGCTTGAGGCACCAATAGTGAAACTTAATGAGGGCATACATATATATACAAAGAGAGAAAGTACCAATTGAGAACTCCTATTATTATGAGAAATGAGAACTATAAATATGAGCAATTAAATCATATTTGAATGATCAAGATTAAATGATAAATGCACATGAATTTTTTTATGTGGTCATATAACCACTAATTGATTTCTAAACCATTCATATGTTTTTGTATCACTTAGATTTATAATTCTCATTTCTCACAATAACCAATGGTTCTTGCTTGATATGCCTATTATATATGAGGAGGGATTAACTTATATTTAAGGAGGGATTAACTTATACTACATTGAGTTACCAACTCTTGCACTCCCTATATGTGTGTGTATATATATGTATATATATGTATATGTATATATATATATATATATATATATGTCACAATGACCAAGAGTTATCACTTGATATGCCCCTCCCCCCCCCCCCCCCCCCAAACACACACACACACAGCACACATATATAATACAAGATTTGTTAATGTATACTCACTTGTGTTAGTTGGAGTACGTTAGCGATTTATAATTAGAATTATCTTAAAATACACTCATAGTGTAGCTTGCTAATATAACTAAAAAACAAATGGATATTTGTTAGCAAATCTCTCTCTCTCTATCTCTATCTATATATATATATATTATCTGCTTACCCTGCATTTAGTCTCCAAACTCTTGCAATATTAATAATTTTATGTAGGATTTGATTTTCATTGATTCAAATGTTAAATTATATCTAATTATTGATTGTTTGTGTTGGCTTTTGTCAAAATTGATCAATTATAAGAATAAGAATATAAAAATAAAGATTCTTTTTATCATATATTATAGAAGTGCATATTATGTCAATTTTGATGTATACTAATAGGTGTTGAATAATTTTTGGATTAATACAACATTTTGGACATATGGGATGCAGCCTAATGGGTATGATTTGTTTTTTTCCCAGGAACATGGTCCAGTATTGAGGCTTCAGTTTCTAGAAAATCATTTTCTCTTGGCTTCAATCAACAAATTAGGACAACTTCGATATCAGGATGTTACAATGGGTACCATGGTTGGTAATTTTCGAACTGGCTTAGGACGGACAAATGTGATGCAAGTAAACCCCTTCAACGGGGTTGTTTCTTTAGGTCACTCAGGTGGTACTGTTACCATGTGGAAGCCAACCAGTTCTTCTCCTCTTGTCAAGATGCTATGTCATCATGGGCCTGTCTCAGCACTGGCATTTCACTCAAATGGCCACTTGATGGCCACTGCTGGGAAAGATAAAAAAATTAAGCTTTGGGACTTGAGGAAATTTGAGGTTCTTCAAACACTACCAGGTCATGCAAATACCCTGGATTTTAGTCAAAAAGGCTTGCTTGCATGTGGTAATAATTCATCAATCCAGGTTCTGCGAGATGTTTCTGGTACACAAAATTATTCTAGGTACATGACTCATTCCATGGTGAAAGGTTACCAGATAGGAAAATTAGTATTTCGACCATATGAAGATGTTCTGGGCATAGGTCATTCCATGGGCTGGTCCAGTATTCTTATTCCAGGAGCAGGAGAACCCAACTTTGACTCGTGGGTTGCAAATCCGTTTGAAACTAATAAACAGAGAAGAGAAAAGGAAATACGGTCTCTTCTTGATAAGCTTCCACCTGAGACTATCATGCTGGATCCCAGCAAGATTGGTACTGTAAAACCCAAAAAAGAGAAGACAGCAAAGCAAGATAAAGAGGCTGAGATAGAAGCTGCCCTTGAAGCAGCTAAGGGCATAAAACTGAAGAACAAATCGAAAGGAAGAAACAAGCCAGGTAAAAGGATGCAGAAAAAGCAAGAGGCAATTGCAAGAGTGAAAAGGCCCTACTTGGAGCAGAAAATTCAAGAAGAGGAAAACATATCAAGAAAGAAGCAGAAAAATAGTGAGGGTGTTGAACTACCAAAATCTTTACAGCGTTTTGCTCGTAAAAAGGCATCTTCATGATTTAACTGTCCATTTGAGTTTTGTTTTCGTCTTTCTATTTTCACCATATTATTTTTAAGCGTCTTATTTGTATTTTTTTGTTGTCATTTTATATTTGTAGCTTATTTTAGCTTTTGATGTTGATTTTTTTTTTTTGCCTTTTAATTAAAGGCATGTCTAAATTTTGTTTAAAGACCCTTTGATTAGAACAATTTTTAATGTTAAAAAAATTGTCCAAAAATCTTTACTGAATACACATTAATAATTCATGTAAAAAGAAAAGATAATATGAAAGTGTAATGGAGCAGTTGTCACTCGTGTCGTGAACCTTCTCAGAAATTAGGTGACATTTACGGAGTGCTATTAGAAAATAGATGCATTGGTAGAGCAATTTATGAACAGATTTACCATTGTAGTGATACAGTGGTCAGGGTAGAGATATGGACAAATAAGAATGGTTATTTTAAAAGTTCAAAATCACATTTTATTTAATTTTAATTTTATATTTTATGAAACCTTTACAATTCACTCGGGATTTAAACTTATAAACAATTCAGTGTGATTGTGATTTAAAGTTAATTTAACCAGCAGAAAGTTAACACTGAAAAATTCAATTATGATTTTTTTCTTTTGTAAACATGTTAATAATTAACTAATTTTAATAACATATTAAAAATATTTATATCAAATAATTAAGAAAAAGTACAAAGCGCCAATATATAAACAACACGTTCTCTAATACAATATTTTGAATTCAAAATATTTGGTTTGGTTAAAATTTAATAAAAATTAAAAATTATAATGGACTTCTCTCGCTTTTTTATTAAATCTTATGTGAAATTTCTCTATTTTTTTTAATAAGTCTAGAACATCATATTTTAGATATTAAAAAATTTTAACCAAACAATAATAAAATAGGTCAAAATAAGCATTGAGAACGAATTTAATCATTAAAATGTGGAGTATTTGTCTTCACTAATTTTCTAATTTTACTTAAAATAATATATATTATAATTATAAATTATTTTTATAAGTTAAAATATAGTAAAAATAATAATTTATAGGTTTTTTTTTAAATTGAAATATAAAAAAATAATTTATGATAAAAATATTGACTCCAAAAATTTACTTAATCTTATTTCTATACTTATTCAATTAGACATATTAATTTTTTTTCTGTTATTTATAAAAAAATCTTTATGTTGGTAATTGTATATAGTTTTCATATTTTTGTTGGACCATAAAGAATATGAGTATGTCAACTGAGATTATATGAAAAAAAAAATTGGAGTCATATGAAAAAATATAAATTATATTGTTTGATCTTTTGTGCAATCAAGTGCAATATCTGCGCATCAGGGTTAAAAGAAGATCCTATAACTTTGTTTGAGAAAGATGTACTGATATACGGAGGTTACTCATATTTAAGGTTGTGTAATTTTTTTTTTCTTTCACGTATCTCATATTGTTAAAGATTAATTTTGCTTGAAAGATTTTTGTATATAATGAGAATGAATCAAATGATTTTTTTTGTTAAATAGATTGTTTTCACATATAAATTTATTAAATTTTTTAAAGATGTATAGATAGAAGTAAAAGAGAAATAAAAAGAAAAAAATAAGGGAGGAGAGAAAGTGATGAAAAATAAAAAAAGGATTAAAAAACTAACTAAAAATGAATTAAAGGAAAACAAATTTTCACCTAAGATTTTATTTTTTAATTTGCAATAAGTTTCAATATAATAATTTTGGCAATAAAGTATTCCATACAAAAAAAAATTTAAATTCTCACCTTTAATCATCACGTAGTGATGGATTGCGCTTAATTACTTTCAATCAATACATCAAAATTTAGCTGAAAAGAGAAACATTAAGATACATGTTCAATACAACCATTATCCATATATATGTTTTTAAAGCACAGAAACTCTCTTAAATGTGCATATGTCATTTTAATGCATACAAATCTCTATCATTTGAACAATACATATTCTCATACAATCGATATCCGTAAATTCTTTGAAGCCTTTCGAACATTCAGTAACGATGTTGCATTTGCATAACGCTTTTCCAGAAATTCATCACCCTCTTTCTTCACTACATTGATAATAATTTGTTCCAAGACACGGCCAGCTTGGATCAGATAACGGCATGCTCCCATTTCATTTGTGGTCCCTCGAAATCCCTTCAATTCCACCACCTTTAGATTTCTTCTCAAGCATTCAAAAATTATGCATTGTTGTCCCCAGAATTTCTTAGAGTCGATAGAATAGGGATAATCCTGAAATAAATAACATATCAACACATGTTGCTCATTCAAAGTTTTAATATGCATAACTATTGAGAAAAAGTATATATATAAAATCATAGGCGACTCACCTCATATATTTTTCCTTGGCCTATCTCTATGGTGAGTTTCTTCAAACAAGCACAACTGTTAAGCATGAACATGAATCCACGCAGTTCTTGATTGTGCATTTTAGTCTTTATGATCAAATGTCTGACGTTCATGTTACATTGGATACGCACTGGTTCTTCTCCAGTAGGAATAGCCTTTTTTCGTGAATTTAAAAACCAAACCAAATTGTTTAAGACCATCCAAAGAATAAAAGAGTACTACGTACTAGTTATATTCATACATTTACTATCATTCATCTCATTTTTTTTTATATCTCTTTTTATTTTTTAGTACATTCACCATTTTTTTCTCACAAATTTTTCTTTCAATCACTTCACGTATCATTTCTTCCTATTATTCTTTTTCAATCAAATCATATTATCTATCACTTCTAATATTCTTTTTTTCCCTCTCTTTGTCTCTATAGTTGTCTTGTATAATCATTGTTTTCCTTTATTTTTCTTATCATTTTCTTTCTTTCATCCCATTTACTCCAAAATGGTGTGAATGTTCATATTTTCTACAAAATGATTTTTTGGATACTCAAGCATGTCATTTGATTCTAGTGTGGGAAACAAGTGAAAAAGTATAGTTAAGATAAATGATGATTCGATAAAGATAAACAGAAAAAAAATGAAGAGTGTTGAAGGGTGTTTAAATTTTATATTTGAATTTAGAAAAAAAGAAAGAAATGAGAGTACATACCTGAAGTAAGAAACTGCAAACTGTGAGAACGTATACACAATTGAGATCACAAAGTAGTTGGCAAAGTATATCGCCATATTCTTCGAAATCAGGCATAGGAGTGAAGTCAAGTTCTGCTTCTTGCATGCTAAAACCTACTTCTATTTGAAAAATCTCCAATGTCCCAGAATATTTGAGGAACTTAAGATTTGGTGCTCTAAAATACACATAATCATAATCAACGAAGTGACAATTGTCTATGACCAACCTTCTCAACCCAAGTTCATGTCCACCCATATCAAAGTGAGCCAGATTCCAACATTTATTCAGACTCAAGCTTTCAAGGTTCCTACAAATGGATAAAAGAGTCCTAATAGTAGAATTCTTCACTTCAATCCACCCCAAAGAAACATCCTTGAGTGCCCTAAAGTTGACCAAATCATGCACAACAAAACTACATGCATTCAACTCCAAAGCCTCAAGTGTTTTATGCATATAAACATGGCATGGCAATTGAAACAAAGCATCATGATCGTCAAAGTCATTCTCCTCCCACGTTGGATCAGAGAAGTCAAGCCTCAACTCTTTCACTAAATGTTTTGTTGCAAAGGCAATACAATCTTGTACGGTATCAGCACAACTTTGAGGGTTTGAAACCTTGAGGGAGAACTTGTTCACAACCTTTTCTTCATAGTTTTGAATGGAGTGAGTGATGAAGTTGAGAAAAATCCTTCTATGTGCCTCTTTGATTTCATCAGATACATCAGACTTCACAAAGAAGAATTCGTTGAACTCTATGTCCCTCCTTGATTTCCATATCTTCAACCACCTTTTAGAAAGAATGGATGACTTAGCTGCTTCTTTGAAAGGAAGGAATGAAGCGATTTTGGTAATAATTTCTACTGGCAACAAAGAGAACATGTCCTCGTTCATGTCCACGTTCATTTCCATAGCTATGGTTGAAAATGTTTGGGCTGGGTACAAACTACAAATATGAATGAATTGTGATATTGTATGGTACGAGGAATATGGTGGGTCGTTTTATAGTTTTAAATGGATGGAAAGTGCAAATTCAAAAGCAAAGGACACAACATTTGAAGTACTGTGAATGATGTTTGGTGATGCACCGTGTCCCTGCAAAATGACCAAATTAGACAACATTATGATTGTTTTCTTAAAAAGAAATAATATTCATATAAATTACACTGATAACTAGAAAATTTAAACATAATACTCTATTTTTATACGTATTACTTCAACCTCTTATCATCAGTTTTTAGAATTAATTGCATTGAAAAATCCATAGAAATGATTTGAATAAAGTCAAATGGAAGAAATTATAATATATTTTTTTAAAAAAACACCAACCTTAATGAGGTGCTCTCTTAGCAACACACATATATATATAAAAAGGTAATAAAAATATATATTAAAATTTATTTTTATATCAAGACTTAAAAAAAAATTTGAGGGAAAAGACTTAAAAATTTTAAAACTAACCTTTAATCTTTTTTCCTTTTTTTACTAAATTTCATTAAGTGATACATATTTCATTTCGTTTTAAAACAATATCTCAGATTTAAACTAGAAAAGAATTCAATGAGAGAGTTAGTCCTATTTTAATATCATTAAAGTATATACATTTAATAAAAATGAACGTACTTTCTATATCAATATATTTATAATATTAAACAAAAAATTAATTTTTTTAATTTCATTTTCATCTTAAATCGAGGTAAAAAAGAAAAACTAATTATAGGAATGGCTTTGCATATTTTTGATGAATAATTTATATGAAAAAAATTACATCTATTTATTTTATTTTAAAATATCAAACTTACTCTTGATGGTTGAAAAATATACCCCTTGATTTAACTAACGAAGACAAAACGAGATTCTCACTAAGCAACTTTTCTAAAATAAAATGATAAATCAAAATATTATTAAATAATTTTGTATCAATAAAAATTAGTGGTGAACACATGTAGGTTTGTCGGATTTGTAGGCAAATCGAACTGGGAATGATGTTTCACCGGATCGGTTTGGGTTTGTGTGTTTACTTTTTTTTATTTTTTTTTTATTTTGACTCGACTTGGTTCGAATCGAATCGATTTGACATGGATTTCACATTATCCAACCAAAAAAAGGTGGGAGGGAAAATGGAAGAAATTTTTTTTGGGGGAAAACTTGGAAAAAAGTGTACAAATTCGATTTGACATGGATTTCACATTATCCAACCAAAAAAAGGTGGGAGGGAAAATGGAAGAAAAAAAATTTGGGGAAAACTTGGAAAAAAGTGTACAAATTAAACTAATCATGCCAAAAATCAAACCTACCAAAACAAAATTGTGAAAAAAAATTATTGACATAAGATGTGAAATGCTATAACTCAAAAAATTTAAGATATAAAGATTAATATTAAGTCTAAATCATTGATTTCAAATAATAAATGTGAATATACCTGGAACAGAAGAAAATCGAGAGCTCAGATACGATTCACTTTAGGATTTTGTTGTGATAAGAATGACTGCTTTGAATAGAGGAAACAACATTTTCTGATAGAAACTCATGCATGTCTAAAAGAAGGAGAATGGTCATAGAATGAATTTAGGGTTTTGATTTGTCAAGGCTGACTATTTCAAATTGGGGAAACAACATTTTTCTAGTAGAACCTCTCGTTCATGTCCAAAAGCAATAGAGTAAAAATTTTGGGAGAGAAACAATTAAAGATAGAATGGAAGCAAGTAGAAAAGAGTGATAAAGTAATGAACAGTTCTCTGACCTGGTGTGACCATTGACAAAAGATGACAGAAACACACATAAATAGAGTGATAAAATATTTATCTTTGGGTCAAAAAAATTTGGGACAAAAGGTCTAGAAGTATGAGTTTGCATCTCTATCTTAATTTTATATTGTGAAAATAAAAAAATAAAAATAATAATAAAATATTATTTATTATTAAGTTGAATCATGTATCAGTTTCTTAATTGTAACTCAAATATGAAATGATTAGAGTGAGTTCTTTACTTCCCTAATAAAATTAACTTGGAAACTTGTCCAAACTAAGTTTAATATATCCAAGTTAGTTTGAGTTAACTAAGTCTTTTTTTTTTTCTTTCAAATTCATATTCTCCTCTTATTTAAATAATAAAATAGTGTAATTGAATATTATTTTTTTTTAGAAAATTGACGCATTAAGTTAATAATTTATGTATGAATAAAATACACATTTTATTATATTACTGCATGTGTTGAATTTTTTGAAATTTGAGTTTAATTTTAATGTATCGTTATTGGAAGGAGTTTTCTTTTTTTGCCAACCAATCAGAAAATAGGACAAAAGATTCTTAAAGTAATTATTATAAATTTAATATTTTATTATATATGACAATTCTTAATTTGTTAAAAATATAAAAAAAAAATCTTTATAAATTTTAGTATTTTCTAATTAAAGCCATAAATTTAATATTTATAGGAAAATATTAAACTAATTACTGCATATTGCTTACTAATTACGAATCTGTTGTATAAATTCTTATATAATAAGTATATAACACTTACCATCTTAATTATAAGTAATATAATATAAATTATTAAGATGAAAAAAAATTAATATAATTAATTAATTTTATTATAAATTCAAAGTTTATTTTAAATATACATCTTAATTTAAGTAATTTTTATATTTAATATTAGTTATGAGTAAAATGCATAAGAAATAAAATTAAATAAAGAGTATAAAAGAAATTTAACCGAAAAAACTTTAAAAACTTACTATTGTTTTCTTATAATTATAATTAGAGTAAAAAAAATAATATATATATATATATATTCTTTTTTATGTGATTCTACTATTACTTAATAACTATTTATTATTATTAAATAAAATTCTCAAATCATTAATTTGTTTGAAAATTTTCTTTCACGTTCGAAATTTAAATGTTAAAATTTATTTCAAAAGTTCTTAAATTTTCAAATCTCAAGTTTAATTACATTAATTTTTTATGCTCAAATCCTTAATTATTTCCATTCTATTTTTAAAATTTTAATATTCCTTTCTTACATTTAAAGCACTTATATGTTTTGAAATTTTTTTTTATATATTTCAACTTCAATTTAAAAAATTGTGTAATATATGAAATACTTACTATTTTTAGCATAAAATACTAAATTATCAAGTACAAGTAAAAAAATGGTTAACTTTGATATTTTAGATTGATTTGACGTACAAATTAATTTAGTCAATTTAGATAGTAAGGTATTGAAAATTTCTTAAAAAAAAATTAAAGGTAATAGAATTATATTTTTAACTAATTAGCTCCTACATGTTCAGAATGAAAATCATTCAATTTTTTTCGTAAGCATTATTGTATTCCGAATTAATTGCATTCCAAAAATCCATGAAGGTGATTTGAATAAAGTTATATTTCTTAAAATAAAAGGGTAATAAAAATATATTAAATTTTATTTTTATATCAAGACTTTAAATTTTCAAATCTTACCTTTAAATTTTATTTTTTCTACTAAATTTCTTTCTTTGTAAGATTAAGTGTATTTCTATCATTAACATATATGCATGCGATGTATTCAAGTGATACGAACTTAATTTTATTTTAAAACAATATCTCAAATTTAAGCATTGTATTTGGAAAAAAAAATTATTAAGAAAGTTAGTCCTATTTTAATATCATTAAAGTATACATTTTACAAAAAAAAAATGCATTTCCTATCAATATATTTATAATATTTTGTGCAAAATTAATTTTTTAATTGAATTTCCATCTTAAATCATGGTAAAAAAAAATTGATTCAAGTGTAATGGTCCAACAGACCACTACACTAACTATAGTTTAACTATTACACATGGAAAAAATTAAACAAAATACATCTAACTTAGGATTATCATGCAACAAATAATTAATATTATGTACATAAATAATTATATGTAGGAATTAAAAGATCTGTAATAGTTTCTGTACAAATGTGTTATGTATAAAATATACGACTATGCGCAAGATGAACCTAAGCATCGATTTTCATTTATACAAAACTAAAACTGCATCATAGCAGCTACAACAAAAGAGAACTGACTACCCTTAGCATGACCCTCCATAGCTAATGTGAGCTAACTTGCTAGTCTTATCATGCTCCTATAAAGAATCATGATCATCACAGTTCTAATCACAAGCAAACACAGGATAAACTTGTGAAAATAAATCATCATATAATCATAACTAAACATCTTTCAACGTTACAACATAATCAACTCGTCATTATTAAAAACACCTCAACTCATATCAATTTACAATTCATTAATAATACCATTGCATCACCATAACACATATTATAACATCAGAACAATACTAGCACAAACAACTTTGAATAATTAATGCATTGTCATGTATATCAAATATAAAGATCTCCTACAATACATAGTGGATAGTTTAAGTGGCTAGACCCTACCGAGCCACAATGAGGGACCTATCTCAATTAGGTCAACTAACAACTCAATTTAATTTCTCAAATTTGTCACTTAAACTAGGAAGTTTGGTACTACTATCTGGGTAGAACAGTTTGGGTAAGAGTCTACCACGACATTAACTTGTATCACTAAGTCACCTATGGGATTAGTCTATCGACTATCCTCCAAATATTATACCCCTCCAATATTAGGTTAGGGACTAAGTCCCCGACTTTATACTTTACTCAGTTGATCACTTTATACATGTATGTCTTGACCTTACCTACATAAGAATACTACAAAAATTAGAGAAGGCAACATACAAGTTACCATTCAATAGTCAATTCACATATTGAAGGTTTTTCAACACTTGGACTCTTAGAGCACCATATCTCATATCCACACAATGAGATATTTAGTTTTTAAAGTCATCACCTAATATCCTTTAGTTTTATGTATCTTAAATAAGAAATGCATCTCAACCACATGCCTAATAACTTAACAACTTATCAGCTTGAACAACTCAACAATATGCATCTTTACAACTCAATCATCTATCAACTCACAACATACAACACATAGGTCTTTCATCATACCTTATCATATGTACAACTTATTCATCATCATTCAACTATAAAATCACTTAAAACAACAAAATTTTATCATGCAACTCATGCCTTACACCGTTAAGGAAGGATGCTCTTTGTCTTGCCCATGCTCGATGCCAAACTATCCCCGTCCGTTGTGGTTGAAATAGAGAGTCTCCTATCCTCTCACGCTTGGCATGACAAAAACCCATGTCAGCCCTAAATCAGCTAGTGAGCCTCTGCCTAACTCACGTTCGACACCATTACACTAATGTCTAGCATAAATCTAAGCAGAAATGAGTCTCACTTCTTACGTCCAATGTGTAATACCCATTTTTTTATTATTATTAATTATCAATGGCATTTTCGCAATTTTAAAAAAATTTAAGGGGTGTTTTGGTAACTTGGAACGTGCCGTTCCAAAAGCAAAACGGGCCGTTCCAAGCTTAAAAATTATACTAAATTTTTTTAGTGAGAACGGGCCTAGAACGGGCCGTTCCAACTAGGAGAACGGGCTGTTCTGACTTTGGAACGGGCCATTCTGGAGGGAGAACGGGTCGTTCCGGAAGGAGAACGGGCCGTTCTGGATGAGTCTCGGAACGGGCCGTTCTGATTTTAGAACGGGCCGTTCTGCTTTTTGGGAACGGCCGTTCCGATTTTGGAACGGGCCGTTCCAGTTTAAAAATTTGCGTACATTTGAAAGATTCGGAACGGGCCGTTCCGAATTCAATACGGGCCGTTCCGGGTGACTCTGGTTGCCTATAAATAGGGGCCAGGGGGGGTGAAAAAAAATATACTGAGAAAAGAGAATCCTAGAGAGAGAAAGAGGAGAGAGAGAGAAAGAAAAAGAGGGGAGGAGAAAAGAAAAGAGGAGAGAGAAAGAGGAATCCAGTAGAGGAGGTTCTGCTAGGGGAGAGAAAAGAGGAGAGAAGAGGAGATTCTGCCCGAGTTTCGGCCCTTGCTTAAGGAGAGAGGTGGAGGTTCTGCCCGAGTTTCAGTTCAGGTTTATCCAAGTAAGGGTAGTGCTTATAAAATTAATCTAGTATATATGAGCATGATAGGAATAGTATAATTTTAATATGCTATTTTATGTGGAGATTTTCATTTCATATAGTATAATTTGGATCAATTGATGGTTGTTTTGGATATTTATATTATTATTATATTGACAAATTGGCATGGTTATGGTTATGTTTAATTATGGAATATGCTATGTATGTGGTTTGGAAAAGTAAATAGGACTTAAAGGAGTAAGGTTATGGTATGGATTAGATCTCTTGGTGAGATCAGGATATAATCTTTGGAAAAATATGAAATTTGGGAATCCCATGGTGAGGATTCCAATGTGGAACTTTTCCAAAGGTTATATGATAAACCACTTCAGATGTTAGGTGGATTCTGAAGTACTCCTCTAAGTATTCTATTTGCTACCGGTATGGGGGCAAGGCCGAGTCATACCGATGGATGAAGTGGCCATGATCACCAGGGTTACGTGACGACGTAATCCAACTGTATATTTTCCATGAGAGGTTAGGTGTGGGACATGGGTTGCTGACATGTTTCACCGTATCAACACTTGGTTTGGATGGTGTTGAGGCCAACATTTGGTTTGGATGTGTTGGTTACATCATGGATTATACAGTGGTGTGACTTTGTTTTGGATATGGAATCTGTATACATATGGTATGGATTGTATACATTGGTTATGGATTATTTTATTATCATAAAATATGTATATATTGGC